TCGCTTCTAGTAACAAGTGCCTTACTAGTAGTAACAAAAAGCTATTAATTTATTTCAAGTTCGTTTGGTCTCCCGGTAACGTCCGGACCTCTCGGTGCTGGGTGAAACACCCTGGGACCTCTTCAGTTCGAGGTGTTTGAGGTGTTTTTTTGGGGGCAGATAGGTCACATGAACCAGAGTTCACCTAGATCTCTTTGAGATAGGATGTTTTCTTCCAGCCTCATGCACCGGAACCAAGAGGTCTTCCTCAATTGGATCGATCTAACTTCACCTTGGAGGTCCGAATGGGCCACCTTTTGCTACCTTAGGCTACGGAGCCTTTGGCCTTCCCTTCGGCAGGAAGATCGAGGATCGTGGGGTCGAGGAAGCCAGGAGTGGCAGGAGGTCCTACGCTGGGAACTTGACTAGCGGAACTCTGATGTCAACCTTTGACAAGAGCAGATGTTGCGTATTGTTGCGTTATTTTGTCAGTTGTTGCCCTTGAACATCCTCAAAAGCAGTGAGCCGGACCCAGACACAGTGAAGATGCTTTTACGATCAACCAGATTTCCACAAGAGTTTGCAAGCAAATCCTGAAATCATCCTACAGTACAAACACTAAGACCTTAGCCATCTCTGGCAGTCATCTCGTCTTCTGTTGGGTTTTGTTTGCTCCTGCCGTACAGGACGCCATCTCATCGACCGATCCACAGCACAGGACGCTGAGAAGAAGAAGAAGAGCTTGACCGCGGAGATCAACAACGGAAGGCTGGCCATGATGGCCATCATTGGTGTCTTTGACCAAGAGTTATGCAGAGTTCATCGCGGCAAAGTTGAGAGTTCGCGGCCAGAGTTTCTAGAGTCACTGATCCATGTTGAACCCCGCATTTGGATAGTAAAACCGCTTCAGATGTTGAATTCATCAGCAGTCTACATTATGGTGTCAGGTTGATTCAAGAGTCTGTTTGGTTGCGATCCCAGGTGCCCAAGCTTGTGATTCACAAGTGTTTAAGACAGAGCCAACACAGTTGGGGACACACACCCAAGATGCCTAATCCAGACCCAAGGAATTGGTCGGCGACGAAATGGACCTTTCAATTGCTCATTGGTCCAAGAAAGAGCCAATTACTCATCGGTTGGTTCAATCGACCTTTTCTCTAGTAGCGAACCTTGTAACCAGTAGCTACTTGCTCCTAGTAGTACGGCCAGGAGCCCCTAGTAGCGTCCTTGCTCCTAGTAGCGATGCCAGGAGCCCCTAGTAGCTTCTAGCTACTAGTCTACATGCCAGAAATTGGATCCTCCCGCGTACGACTTCGGGTTGTCTTGTACTGCCCGAAGGCCATCACAGCGGTTTCTAGGTTGAGGGTCAATGGCCCAAAAATGCCCAAACCAAAAACAATGAACAAATGAGTCGTTCTGCAAATCATCGCTGTTTCCTTTGTACAGTACTGTTCTCCTTGCAGCAAAACCCTGCAAGCGATACCTAAGTGATACCTATTTTTCATGTGCGAAACGCTGCAGATCGATACAGAATGTCCTTAAATTAATACACCCAACACACATCACGTGGAAAAACAACTCGCATGAGAAACCACATCCAAGCTAATTTAGTGACAATGCCAAGCTGTCATAGAGCTGTCGATGTGTTTGAGATTGTCTCCCTCATATCCAAACCAGAGACTCTCCCATCCACTGGCCCATTAAGGCATGTTCTACCAGGATGGTCTCACTGGCTCCGCCTGGGGCGACTGGGCCAACTACGCCGACTCCCCATTGAGGGCCTTTGAGGAGCGGGCGGCAGGTCATGTACATCACAGATTTGCATGCCAAAGTTGCACCAGATTGCTCAGAAACCAGATTTGATACTTCTTTCACCTAGAAACTTGTGCAGAGACATTCATGCTGTTGAAAGATCCTGAACAGGCCCATCGATGCAGAAGAAATAGATTGACGAGTAGAAGGGTATTCCTCCAGATTTAGGTAGTTTTCCCGCGTTCCCTCAGGAGTAGAAATTATAGAAATTATTCAACAATCTCCAGGGAACCTGGATTTTTCCAGCTTTGTTCGAGTGGATTTGCCCACCACAGACCTGCTGTGCAGCATGGCAGGATGAGCTGGGAGTCCAGCCCCCTGTGGGCTTCTGGGTTTCTTGGCGTGGAACGGAATGGCAGGATCGTTCAAGAGGAATGCGACCAAAGTAGATGATCCCAAAACGGGTATGACGAGGTATGACGAGGTATGATGGTACAAGGTTCCTTTGTTGGTGGATTCGGGCCATGGATTCCTGGAGGATTCTTTACTTTCCAACGAGGACCGAGGATAACTAGGCACAAACTATGTAGGATTGTGGAACAGCCTGATACGTTTTACCTTGCCCAGAACACCCAGGATGTTGGACGCCTTTTCAGCAGCCCAGCAATTCCCAACGATTGGCTCGGTGGAGACATGTTGCATGTTTATGCTTGTTCTCATCCGGTTGTGGCTGTCAACGCATCGAGGATGCCGTTGATCAGAAACCCCTTTGATGCGCATCAAGGGTACCCGTCCTTAGGTGTTTGACCAGCCGAACACCGAACACCGAGCGATTGGACCACCGGGGCCGGGCCGTCTCTCAGGATCCTGTGGGCTACACTCGGGATGGACGCTGGGCTAGACTTGAGATGGTGTGCACTGTGGCACTGTGGGTGTTGTGAGATACGACTTGACAACTCACCCAATGAGTGGGGTCCCTCACATCCCTGGGAGACAGGAGGCTGTCGATGTTTAAATATTTCTACATGGGGCCAGACAATCAACAAGGAAAACATATCACCCCAAGATTGTCAACATGCACCTCAACATCGCAGCCTCTGGAACAAGCCTGCAGAAACTTGCTGTCCCATGGCTCCTGACTTCGTTGGTTCTATGGTGTTCTATGTATACTCAAGAACGGGACATGTTGGGCTGCCAAAAGACTGGGACCCCGATACGCCTCTCTACTGTGTGGTTCTTGCACGAGATTGTCACACATGTGTTCCTTTTACCCAAGTAATTCGGTCGGAGCCGGCCAAGACGTCAGCTCAAGTTCGACTGTATATAGAGATATATAGAGTGCAGCTGTTCGTTTGTTTATACTTTTGTACATGTGTTTGTATATATATATATTATATATTGTATTTAAATATATATATATATTGTATTTAAATATATATATATACATTTGGTCAGGCAACATGGAGACCTTCAAGCGCCGCCGCGAGACGGAGATCAAGCACGGCCGCGTCGCGATGTACGCCACGATGGGCTCCTCAGTCGAGAGAGTCGAGATCAGTCCCGGCGCATTACTTGGCATTTCTTGCGTAAGAAATTGGTGGCGCATTACTGCATAGTACTACATAGTAGAATGCATGGTACACAGACAGCACCATGAGGCTACGCCCATAGTATTCTTTGAAAGAGGATGGTATTTCAGGAGCCATGAGGACGGCAGATAGAGCTCTTCTCAGTTGAACAAGCTAGTGCAGAATAGAGGAAGAACATATTTTCCCAAGGATGAAGTGCTGAAGTGCTCATGTAGAATGGCAATCTCTACGGCCATGTAATATTATCAAGAGCCTTAGCAAGTCACAGTGACAAAGTTTGCCTTACTTAAGACTCAAGACAGACAAAAGTTTATGGTTGTCAATAAACTGTCCGTGCGGACAAAACACTGTCCGGTCAGCTGCAGATCGAAAGGTGTGGGATGGTCAATCATCCCACCTCTATACAATAGATATAAACTAAGTACAATCAGATGGTTGTAGGTCAATCATTAACTGCCCTTTTATAGTGATAAGATGCTTTCTTGGGTGTGAAAACCAAAGAGTTTGCGCCTGCGCACACCCTCCCTGGTCTCCGCAATCAGTCTCACTTCAAGAAGCAACTTTTTTTTTTCCGAAACAAATAACAAAGATTGCTTGTCCCACATAAAATAACAGATCCCTTCTTGGTGTTATCAGGAAGCTGGACCAGACCTGGAGCTGTGTCAGTTGACTGAGGTTATATCACGCCTGAGTACTTCAAGTGGCCTGGATACCTCTCTCCATCCATGGGCATTAAGTTCGAAGACGTCCCCAACGGCTTGGCGGCCATTGGCAAGGTGTCTCCACCCGCTGTCGAAACGACCGCTCGAACGAGGTGCCGCTCGAAACGGATCTGCATGGATTTGGAGGGCACCCACAGGGTCATATGAGGCATCCAAAGCATTGGGAGAAGCATCCAAAGCACACAGGCCATTGGAGTGGTGTACATGGGCCATTGGAGTCCCATGGGCGTTTGCTGTGTTCTTCCATGTTCTTTCTGTTCACTTTCGATGAACTGTTTGCCCCAAGCTTGTATCACTAATTCACTGGTCACCGTTCATTTGATGGGTGATGATTTGATTTGAAGGTGAAGTAAGGTGAAGGTTGAAGGTTATCACTTATCATTTGACGACTTTCGGCAATTCTCAAACAATGTATTTGTCTTGCACTTAAATACAATTTACATGCGGTTGGTTGGTTGTTCTTCAGTTTCAATTCAACCTTGTTCCTGTGATTGGCGACAGTGTTGTTGTGCTTCCGTTCGTTGTGATATACAATATGTTTCCCGTCGCAAGAAAGAAGATCCAGTAGATATTCAGATATCAGGCAGAAAACTGGTGTTTCCTCTCATCGATCCGTGGCGCAGGTTCCTGGCAACGGCTGGGCGCAGATCGTCGCGTTTGCCG